CCTGTCAGCGACCGTTCCTGCTATCTGAAGACAGTTACAGAACTGCTATGATGCTGCGCATCTGGCATGCCCTGCGGGCGACCGAGCGAGTTCACGTGACAGAGGAAGAGAGAGAGGCTGGTCGTTTGTGCGCAAGGAGGTCGGTCATTTCGGGGCATTGTTTCAGTCGTTTTTAATGGCTCAGGTTTTCAAAAGATCATTTCAAAACCGACCTCAGTAAAATCTTAATATCAATAATAATAATTTTAAAAAAAAGTTTAAAAAGGGTATTTTCGTTGATAAAGGGCAAACTTCCTAGTGCTTTAGCACCACCTAGTGTCTATGTGTGCACGCCCCTGAATTACAATGTTTTCCTTGATAGGCGCTGAATCAATATGACCTTTGGTAACGTTAGTCTACTTTACAAGGAACAAACGTCAGGCCTAACTAACATCATAGTTAGAGAAATAACGTTCTGCAACCTGATTTTTATCATCTCAAAATCAGCATTGCAGCTATGCTAGCAACATTGTGCTTTCATTATGATTTAATTTCTCTATAGATAGTTAATCAGTGTTTCCCTGTTTCATCCTGTGTCTCCTCTCCCCATCACCCCTGGCTCCCTCGCTTTGCCCCATTTGGTTTTCAAATCAGTCTCAGTCGCTCTCGCGTCATCTCGTGCTGCATTCACTGCAGTCCGACATTGGAAATTAGTAATTCTCAAACTATCCATCATTTATAAGCGTCTCTACCCCTTCCGCCAACTGGGGTGGCAGCAGGGGTGGCAAGGCTTTAATTTAGGGGGGCATTTGCCACCCTATGCCACCCCAGTAGATCCGCCTATGTCCAGCTTTGATTGTTGGGGAAGCTGATAAATGGAAGCTGCCTTCCTCAGCTCAGGATCACATGATGGGAATGAGCTGGTTATAAATCCCTCTGATGCTGGTTCTGGTACCAGGTCACCATGAGCTCAGGAAGAAGCAGAAACACTGAGCGGTTTGAGCAGAACCTTCATTTATTGTGAAACACTGATAGAAAGCAAAGCAATGAACCCAGATTACACAGAAACATCAGAAACATGGGATTATTGTTCCAGTCGCACCTCCATAGACAATCAGATGGACTTCTCCTTCATAAGGTCAGGTTCATCATCCAGCTTTATCCCCATAGAAACATCTACCTTCACGTTAAACACCTCCTTCCTTCATGGTGGACGACAAAGTTTATGAGACATGATGAGATTCAGAGCTCCAGAAAAAAAAGAACCAAGCTGTGATATGACCAGCAGATGGCATCACATGATGGGACCATCAGGATGGAGAAGCTGATCCACGGTTCAGACTGAGGATCAGTAGTTCTAGAGATCAGAACCAACCTTCAGTGCATGTTCAGACCGGTTCTGGGTTCAAAGGTCGGAACAGGGAGCAGATCTGAACGGGAAGAGGAGAGAGAGATGGACTATAGAGATGGAAACCCTAGAGGTAGATCAACCAGATAGGCTAAGCATGGGTACATTTAGCTGGATCTGTATATCTATGTTCATATTCTACAAAAACAAGCAGGATGGGATTTTAAACCAGTTCTAACTGGTTCCTACCTCTGGCCTTCCTCTTGTAGTAGATGAATCCAGCCAGAGACAGAACCAGACCCAGGATCAGTCCTGAAGCTCCGATGGCCAGCTGGTTCCTCTCTGACTCTGGCATGGACGGATCTGAGGACAGGAGGAGACGGGTTGAGGACAGGAGGAGACGGGATGAGACAGGAGGAGACACAGAGGAGGAGATAGACGTTCAGTCAGGCGGCTCT